AAAGGCGAAACTTGTGGTCGGTACCAGATCTGCCTACCGCGTTTTGTGATAACAGCAAATCCTTCCTATAGTGGCAATATAATGGCTGGTGGAGACATGAAAGGAGAAATTTATTTATTTATTTATTTATTTAACAGTTTATGTACACACATACTTTGACAGGAAAATGGTAAAAACAAAATTATGTACAAAGGCACTGCTTATTCTATAAAGAAATTTCTTCCAGCAGGCCTATCGAAGGATAGTTGAAGGAAATAGAAGTAGTCAATGTGTGCACTTTATTAACATTAACATATACAATAAAATACAAATTTACAAACCTACATATATATTATACACATACTTACATACATACACATACATATATATACATATATATACATATACATACATATATATATATATATATATACATAAATATAAAATACCAATATAATATATTATAAGAAAAAAGATAATATAATTCAATATATTATATTTTTAATATTACGTATATGAATATCTACACATAACGAATTAATCATTATGGTGTGAATGATAATGCTCTTTAACAAGTCTTTTAAACATAGACACCGACTTAGCGTCACGAATCCTAAAGGGAAGTGAATTCCACAATCGAACTGCATTAACAGTAAAAGAATGAGAATAGAGCATTGTATTGAAAGATGGAAATCTTAACAGTGTTCTAGTATTTGATCTACATGGAACATCTGGAGCATGAGCAAAAGTAAAGCGATTTTTAGATATAGCGGAGTATCAGGGTTATGTAGAATATTGAAAAGAAGACAGAGGATTCGAGTGTTCCTGCGAAGGCGGATGGGGAGCCATTTAAGCTGCTTGCGATAAACAGAGACGTGATCGAACTTCTTTAAGCCAAAAATGTATCGAATACATAAATTTTGCAAGCGCTCGAGTTTATTAATTTGCTCCTCGGTAGCATCCAAATAGCAGACATCAGCGTAATCTAAAATTGGCAATATAAGAGTCTGGACTATAGATATCTTAGTAGACAAAGGTAGAAAACTTTGAAGGCGTTTTAGAGAATGAAAGGCGTGAAATATTTTCCTGCTTACATCCATAACATGTGCGGCCCAAGTCATATTGCAGTCGAAAATAACACCTAGGTTCTTGGCAGTATCTGAGTAGGGAATAGTGGCACCATCGATTCGTAGAGTTTGGAGAGAGGAGAAATCAAGCGTGCCACGCGCATGTCTTATATTTAATGTTACGAAAACTTTTCGCCAATTGTAAAATTATTCAATTATTATTTTTATGAAGTAGGATATACTTTAAGCGTGGACCCATTAACTTTGAAACTTTTGGAGTCTGTGGTACGACTTAGTTATTATAGTTTTATATTAGCAAAGTTTTTTTGAAGAATCAACAAAGCCTCAACTTTGGAAGTTATTAAATTATATGACTACAATTTATTATTTTAGTTTTTTAAGTCGTTTCTAACCATCTTATAATGTTTTTTAACTTCGAAAAATGAAGTTGATTAATAAATCGTTCTTAATATTATTTCAATTCTTCTATACAAAAGTTATTAAGAAAACCTCTTCAGTTCCATAAATTATTCTTAGAGTTTCCACATAAATCACTTATCTATCGTTTTTCGTCCCTTTTGAGCCCTAAATTAATCTACGCGAATGTAAAGGCTGCCGGGGCTGTCTGTGGATATTAATTATTACACTTTACGACATAATATAAGAATTTTGTGTAATAATGTCTGTGTGTGTTATTTATAGTTTGCTTATTATATAATATATCAAAGCATAAATTTCAAATACAGTTAGTATCTAATAAATATTATATTTATTTTTATTAGATACTAACCACTTTTCTTGCGATGTTTTCCTCCACTAGCGAGCTAGTGAGATATCAGTATTCATAATTGCAATATTTGAAAGTTATTTGTCATTTAATTTCAATGAATGTATTATAATTTCTAATTAAACAATATAACTCTTCCAAATTAAAAAGATATTTCTGCAATTATTCCTTCCGCGGTAGCAACGCGCCGGATAACCGTTAGTTACTGATAAATATGCTTGGACTATCTAACATACATGTAAACAGAGACGATTTCCTTTTAACTTTCTACATTGATTATATAATACAGGTATAATGAATTCTTTAATAGTAACAGTTTTTAAAATAATAATGAGGTATCAAAAACCACTCAAGCCGTTTAGATTATCTCAGTTTTTGACGAGAATACATTAGTAGAACTCGAATGCAAATAAAATCGATATTAAAATAAAAAATATTGTATATTCGATTTGCGATTTATAAAAGCGTGTAGTAATAATTGCTAAAGCTACCGTTTATATATTTCTACTAATGTACTCTCCTAAATTCTTACCAGCAATTAGCAACTAATTTTGTAGTTCGAAACATCAAGCTTAAAAGAATTCTGCATTACGCCTGCCCATTTCATAAAGGAAAGTAATGTAAAAAATAGCTTATATACGTCCCACGGCTAGGAACTGGTCTATTTTTTCTCAGGGCATTTGTGAACCAGGGAAGAGTACCAGGTTTATAGTAATACGGGTCTTTGAACCTATACTGGCATCGGTCTCCCACGAATGACAAAATATTAACGTAATAGTGAAAATAGTGACGTAGTACTAATGGTGAGAAATAAATAAATAATTATTATTATTATAGAATAAGGGTGACAAATGCGTACATGGCCCAGATGATTGTAAGTGAATGCTGTAGCCAATTGACTCAATCTCTCCTTGATTAAAAATCGAAATGCAGAAGCTTCACACCTGGTGATTAAGATGGAAGGTCTCGTTACAAGAACAAGGGATTTTAAAGTCTTTACATTGTACGAAAAAGAGGAATAAGCTGCTATTTTATGCTGCTAATTTTTGAAGCGTGCTTTTATCTCGGTCGAGATGATCCATTGCTGCAACCATACTATAGCTGCAGTGTGGCTTTACCACGTATTAATCACAGCCGTTGCAAGTATTTTTGCGGTTTATCACGTAGTTAACGTGACAAACCGCAAAAATACTTGCAATTAGCAATCGAACTCGCGTACTCTGTTTAAAAGCAAGCACTATCACTTGCACTACTTCGGCTGCCTTATTAAATAATGGAAATAGCTTACATAGCTGTGAAGAGTAGTTATTAAAGAAAATTTTCAATTAAAATTACGAACACGAAAGTATTAGAGATAAACTACATAGCGGAACCCTTTAAGAGCCGACTTCAAAAAAGAAAAATATTAATTGGCCTGGATTTTATTTATATATATGCTATAAGACTTCAAAATTTTTTTTCTGAAATTTTCACCTCTAAGGGTGCAAAAATTGGAGATGAATATGTTATATAACTAGAAGAGAACCTAGGTAACCTTAGGTAGTTATATAAAATATTAATTGGCCTGGATTTTATTTATATGTACGCTATAAGACTTCAAATTTTTTTTCTGTGATTTTCACCTCTAAGGTTGTAAAAATTTGGAGATGAATATGTTATATAACTAGACGAGAACCTAGGTAAACAAAGGTAATTATTAAAAAAAAACTTAACAAAACTTAAAGTGATTAAAAATCTTGATCTTGTGATATTCCCTCGACTAGTCAAAAACGTAAAATAATTATCGATTAATAAGCGTTAAAATATATAATTGGACTGTGTCTGTTATATGAAAATAACAGCTTTTTAACACATAGTTAAGATGTGGCGACATCGTATTTGGAAGTAATCGAGCGCTAATTCATTTCGATTGTCTTATTATTTCATATATATTACTTTATTTCTGTGTTCAAAAAATAACATGAGCATTCGAGATGTGCACTGTTGGGTTTTTAAAATATTTTTTATTGGTCCCACACATAAACATGGAACCTACGCGTCACAGACAGACTTTTATTAATTACCGAAACAAGTTTTACGTTTAAATCTACAAAAGTTGTTTCTGTTTAATTAACATGAAATTTTCTTGACTGCTTGATAACGGTGATTCGTATTTTGTTACCGAACAAAATTGCCATACAATTAATTTTAAAAAAATGGACGCGATGGTTTACAAAAGTGAAATTCAAAGGGATTTCTAAAGATTAAAATCGAAAGCTAATAACAAAAAAAATCAATGTGATAAGTTCAGTTTTTTGAAAGATATCTTGTTCACATTCAGGCTAACCAACTGACGTCTAAGTAAAATTATTTTCCATTAACTTTTTTTAATAATAATCATAATATATAATCATATAACTACATCAGAAGTATTAATTGTAATCTCCTCTTGTTATTGTTGTACTTTTTATTATATATGTGCAATATAAGCTGGTGGAAGTGATTTAAGTTGAGTAGTTCGCGATTTTTTGATTTTATGAGAATGTTGAATAAAACCACTTATACAGATATTATCGCATTTAATTCGAAAACTGAAGATAGCCGGGGTCACTATGATTTTTTTACTATATTTATTTGTATTTATAATTTTGAAGCTATATTTATTGGATGATGGATATTTGGACTTTGCCTACCCACTCGGGGATTAAAGGCCTGATTTAAATGTCTATAAGTATATTTATTTGTACATTAGTGTAGTATATCTTTATTCAATTAGTATATTTTACCCTTATCAAACTAATTACTCAGCGGTTGATTGAACTGAACGCCGGGTGTATTAAATTTAATCAACACTCAATATATAGATTAGTAAGAATAGATTCTGATTGCACCCGCAGGGATTTGTTTCGCTTTTACGAAATGCTATTTCTGATGATATTTCTTTTAAATATATTTTACAGACTATAAGTATCTTAATAAATTTAAATTGAATATCTTTATACATATCAATAGAATTGAGCTGTCTGTCTGAAATAAGGATTTTTTATAGGAAGGGTCATCGATAAGAACAGCAAAACGTCTGCCTGGTCAGCTAGTATATAATATTTAATATTAAATTATATATAATTTCATTTTAGGAAAAATCGGCCCTTTTTGTTTTGTATCAACCCAAAAAAAAATTAAGAGGAATGTCCCTGTTAATTAAAGACACTGATAAAGAATTCGTTCTGCGTGTAAGGAAGCTAGTTACAAATACCAAAAATAATAGTGAAGTAATCAACAGTGATATTGCGATAAATACAAAGGAAGTTGACGAAACACATTCAACTGTCGTGGAATCGGAGAAGTTGGTGGGAGGGTATACAACCGATGCTATTGTTCATTGTGCCTTTGGCTTCAAGAGCAGTGTCATGGATAACCCTAAAGATCCCTTTGTAGTTGCCCTACAAGCCTTTTATGAAATGACCTTATATAACATATACGAAAAGTGAGTATATGAAAGAAATAAAATTAATTACCTAGTAATACAATAAAACAAAAGGGACTTTCCAGACCAGTGTATCGACGAAATTGCAGGCGATACATTGAAAATGGATGAAATCAAGAGTATCTTTAGCATATATGCCTAGATATATGAATGCGAAATAAGCTCGAAAGATATAGTAAAGTGTCAGCATCATGCCAAAAAGAAATTCGTAGCTTCTGCATATCCCTATGGGTGACTGGCGTAAGAGTTTATGTATTATTTATGTTATATAAAAAAATCCTGTTGCTTTAGTGGATGTAGTAGTGCGACTGCTGATCAAGAGGTCTTGGGTTTGAATCCCGGGTCGGGCCAAACATCAATTATTGAGTTTTTCTGTCAAGAAGTTCTCAATACTGCCCGGGTCAAGAATTTGGCGGTGTCTCACCCCTGTGCCTTGGAAAGCACGTAAAGCCGTTGGTCCTGTGCCTGATCTCTCTTCGGTCGTGTCGGTTTACCGTCCCATCGAATTATGAGAGTGAGGGAATAGAGAGTGCGAGTGAGTGAGAACCTGTGCTTGCGCATACACTTGAGAGCTATAATCCTGTCCGGAGCCGATTGCTAGTCTCCGTTAAGGTAGACAGTCGTGACCGAAATTCGGTCTGGAGGACATTATTATTATTATTATGTTATGTAATACAGTAATATTATAAATTATTGTTTTATACAGTTAATATAGTACAGTGGCGTTATATTGTATGCGCTATAAGATACGAGAGACAAACAAACACGCAGTCCACCTGAAGGTAAGTGGATGTTATGCTCTATAGACATCTACAGCTATCCTCGTCGAAGAATCCAAATGTAGATGCTGTAACGCTCCCCCCCTCTCATAGTAATAAATATATAAAATACTAAATATATTATATTCCCCTTTATATTAAAAATTATATATATGTGACCAGGATTAATAAATTATGTTTAGAACTTTCTAAATGATCTTTCTAAAGGTTTAATAATAGGCCGTTTGTAATATTTTGGCGTGATCGTCTTAGTTAGGGCCCTTACTTACGTTGTGTTTGTTTAGTAACTTACTTCTTTTAGGTGTCTTTTGGAAGAATGAATATTCACTAGAGCAATTGAAAGCTGTTGATAGTACCTTATAAGCTAAGTGAACCCCGTTCACGAAGACAGGGCTCGAGAAAGGTTAAGAACATAAAACGTCCCTATTCCACTTGTATCAGGTTTACATTATTAATTATTCCTTCCCGCTCGGAAAAGGCTCAAAATATATTTATATAAAATACCCGATACAAGGACTTCGCTCTCCTACATTTATTTAAAAAAAATGTAGGAGAGGCACACGGCCCCACACACGCCGTGCGCGGTGAGTGCCAACCATTTTGATGCACTCCCCCCGAAGGGAACGCTAATTCTGGAACTGGACCGTAGTTCACAGCAAAATAACTGGCGAACCAGTAAAAGAGGTTTGGCCCCTTGTTAGTGCGTAAGCACAAACATCGACCGAAGTCGCGCATGTCAATGCGTGTAACCGCCATAAGGAATACGAACGAATCCAGCCACAGTGAATGTACGTCACACGGTTTAGGCAATTAGGCACAATGGCCGTAAACCCTCCGTAAGCGCCACCACCTGCCAGACCGCCGCTCCTGCAGACGTGATGTAAGTGTATGGCATCACCACCAATTGCATGATCAGCACGGCTACTAGCCGCAGAGCTTGTCATGAGTCTACTGCTCACCTCAAGGGAATGGGTTCCCACGTTGTGCGGCTTTCGGCCGCAGCCTTAAGAGTCTCCTCAGATCCTCCCGCCAGCTACCACCCACATGAAGTCGACACATATGCTCCACCAACCAATACAACGGCAGATATAGCCAAAAGGCAGTTATAAGATAAGAGTAATAATTCGCCATCAGAAAAGGGTTTGTGTCACTGACGTTGAGTAAATGCATTTTCGATCATGTTTGTCTCACCCACCGACAAGTTGTCTTCAATCATTCAAAGGTGGGAAAGTTACAGAGATATATTATTATGTTGTTATATAAAACATCATGGAGGACAGACAGTCTGCAGCCCCGTAATGAAGGGACCCGACTTGGGCAAAGCTACTTAGGTGTGAGTCAAACCAAGACGCAGAGAGCGCCATTGAGAATAGCGTCCCACCAAACAACCATCGCAAAGACGCAACGCTGCAGAACGCAACAAGCATCAATACGACTATCGTCGGGCTTACACCATCCCAAGGTTCCCCATACATCCCAGCAGACATCACCACCCGCATACCTCCATCGACCAGAACCACAAGAGTGCGTCGAATCAGGCGCAGCACACCCGCAGATCCATCACAAGACGCAATACCGCAAGTAGCAGTAAGCATCAATGCAACTATCACACGGATGGCACCCCCCTCACAACACACCCACATGACCCCTATCGATTTTGGTAACAAAGTTTTTATTGTTGTTATATAAAAAATATCACCAACGTATCATAGTAGCACGCTACTAAGACGCCAATGAACAAAACTCCACGTATCATAGCGCTAATGCACTAAGACATGGAGTTGAGTATGTCTGTTACACTTAAAAGTGCTACCAAACACACTCATCATCCCAATCCGAAATATAGACGACGCATCGCTATGCGCTACTACGCCGCCCACAAACGGTATGGGTGTGCGATGTCCACGGGAAAGCCATATTGATACAACAAACCCGCTTACCACCGGCATTAAGATGTTATTTGTTTACCTCCATCGACCAGAACCACAAGAATGCGTCGAATCAGGCGCAGCACACCCGCAGATCCATCACAAGACGCAATACCGCAAGTAGCAGTAAGCATCAATGCAACTATCATACGGATGGCACCCCCTCACAACACACCCACATGACCCCTATCGATTTTGGTAACAAAGTTTTTATTGTTGTTATATAAAAAATATCACCAACGTATCATAGTAGTACGCTACTAAGACGCCAATGAACAAAACTCTACGTATCATAGCGCTAATGCACTAAGACATGAAGTTGAGTATGCCTGTTACACTTAAAAGTGCTACCAAACACACTCATCATCCCAATCCGAAAGATAGACGACGCATCGCTATGCGCTACGACGTCGCCCACAAACGGTATCGGTGTGCGATGTCCACGGGAAAGCCGTATTGCTACAACAAACCTGCTTACTACCAGCACTAAGATGATATGTCTAGGACACATCGGTTAGCGAGTCCAAGTTTACCTCGGACCAATTGCTCGTGAAGCAGCATACACGCCACCATAATATTCCTTTTCAAGTCCCTAATAAGGTTTAGTCATTTTGCTACAGTACTAGGAGCAGTCGGTCACCCGACCACCCCATACAATGCTTATGCATCAAGGAGACCTTCAATAATAATGCTTTTGTATCATAGACCTTACTTTCATAAGTCATTCATATATAGGGTTCGAACCCACAACCCTACTATTGTAATGTATATTCATCACAGAGACCTATAGTATTGCTTTTGTATCATAGACCTTACTCTCGTAAGTCATTAATATATAGGACCTCAACCCATGACCCCACTATTGTAATGCAAATTCATCATGGAGACCTACTATAGTATTGCTTTTGTATCATTGAGTTTATTATCATAAGTCCCTAATATAGGACTAGTCATTGTGCTACAGTAGTACTTCAGGCAGTCGGGCTCCCGACCACCCCATATATATTGTTACGCGCTCCAGTCAACGATACACTAGCGCCATCTAGTGTCAGGAACGAGAGCGAGGGGAGCATTGAGAAAATGACATCACAAATCGCTCAACTGACAGCGCCTAGTCGAAACTCGAACGATCGGTACCTTCCGCGTGTTTACTTGAACATTCTGGATATTTCTTTGCTAATTTAAATATATAGGCGCTGCAAGATGCGAGAGAGGCAGTGTTGATTTGGGCGTAACAAGCGAAGTTTCGGGCGGAATTAAGTGAATTAGTGTGTTTAATTATTAGTGTTTTAACTTTAATTTGTGTAAAGTAAATTAAAGTGTTAATTTAGGTAATTTTATCGGCAATTTTTATTGTCACGAACCTCAAGCTCGTAACAATTGGTGTCAGAAGTGGGATAAAATCATACCGATTTTACCTAAGGAGGAAACGGAGGGTGTCCGTACCCGAAATCAACGCCAGCAGGAGACGGACCAAAGAAGATTTGGTGGTGCAACGCCGCTGACGTCGGAGGGCCAGCCGCCGGCTGCAGGCCCGTCAGTAGCTCCTCCATCTGCAGCACCCGATTTAGGTGCTCTGATGGTGATGCTGCAGGAACAGGCTCGCCGACAGGAGGAACAGGCTCGCCGACAGGAGGAACAGGCCCGTTGGTTGAAAGAGCAGCAGGAGGAACAGGCCCGCCGACAGGAAGAGCAGATGCTCCTCGTGAAGGACATTCACGCTAACTTCGGGAAAGAGATTAGGGAGGTGAAGGATAGGGTTGCTCAACATGACAACCGCCTGTCGGAAGCTGAAACCCAAATCAAGGAAGCTAAAACCCAAATCGACCAAGTAAACAATCGGGTTGACAACGTGATGGCTGACGTGAAGAAAACGCTGAAGGACCTCAAACTTGGGGATGGAACGACAGCTCCCGTAGTAGCTACAGCACCTTCGCTACGTGGGTTCAAGGTGCCACCGTTCGACGGGACTTCTTCCTGGTCAGCCTACAAAATCCAGTTCGAGGCTGTTATGAAGGCGAACGGCTGGAATAAAAGTCAGGCCATGACTGCTCTCACACTAGGCCTGCGCGACCAGGCCTTAACAGTTCTGGAAGCTCTCGGTGAGGAAGTGACTTATGAGCAACTCCTTGAGGCATTGGAGGCGAGATATGGTGACGCTCACCTGGAACACGTCTTTCGTGCGCAGCTTAAAGATCGTGTGCAGCGCATCAACGAAAACCTGCAGCAGTGGGCTCTAGAAGTGGAGAAGCTGGTGCGAAAAGCATACCGGTCTGTACCTGCGCTCATTGAAGGGA